AAGTCGTTTTGTTGATGACCTCCCATTGTAATGTCTTGAGTTTTCGGCCAACTCGGAGATGAGGTCCCTTGCTTGAGAAGGGGTTTTGTTAACAATACCCCCTCCGCATGCCGCATTCACCATGCGTCTATCTTGATCAACAAGCCCATCATAGAAGTAGAGAATGAGATCTTGTTCCGAATACCCATGATATGGGCAACTAGCGCATAATTTTTTTAAAGCGCTCCCAATATTCGTACAAGGTCTCATCGTCCGCTTGCTCAATGTTGCTGATTTGCTTTTTGAGACTTGAAGAGATAGATGCAGGATAATACCTTTCGAGGAAAGCCTTCTTCATTTGTGCCCATGTAGTGATACTTCCCGAAGGAAGATAGAATAGCCAATCCTTGGCGGTGTCTTTGAGAGAAAATGGAAAAGCTCTCAGCTTTATTTGCTCCTCGGACACGCCATTGGGGCACATGCTTGTGCACACAATATGGAATTCCGACAAGTGCTTGTTCGGATCTTCCCCTCGTAGGCCATGGAAAGAGGGAAGTAGATGAATGAGCCCAGATTTTAGCTCAAATGTGACCCCCGTATCAAGAGTTGGAAAAGTGATACATAAGGGTTGTTGATTAAGATTTGGAGCCGTGAGCTCCCTCAATGTTCTTGTTTCGTGAGCCATAGTGATTGGCCCTTCGCTATCGCTAGAATGAGAACTAGCACTAGATGATTCCTCCGAAGAAGTATTTGGAAATAAATTCCTAAACCTCTCGAAGGCTTGTTCCGTTTGGGGGTTTGTTTGGTAGATGATTTCGTTTATAGATCGGGTTCTTACCATATACTCAAACAAAGCTCAGAAAAGAAATAGAAATCTCTATATTTAAGTAATATTTTTTTTTTCTTACACTGAAAGAAAAATTAATTGCCTTTCCCCGGCAACGGCGCCAAATTTGACGTGCACTTTGTCGTGTGTGCACTCAAAATAAATTTCAATACTAACACTTATACGTAGTATAGCGTAGTAGAGTTCGTATCCACAGGGAAAGGAATAATTCTCTTTTTATGTAACTAGTAAATAAAAGGGGGGTTTTGACTTGAATGATTTAATTTAATTTAACACAAAGATGAACGACTTATATGAGATTTAATTCAAAGATAAAAAGGACTTGGTATTGCTACTTTCCACTTGTTGATATATTTTAGTCGATCATTGTTATATCTATAACTTATCCCCTCTCAAATACTCAATCGAGGAGTATATCCAATTCATCGAGGATAGTTATTAACAACGACCGTTCATTAATAACCCTTACTATTAGTCAAGTATAGAACACCGCCATATACCGACTTGATAGTAGCATTTAATCGCTTAACTCCTTGATGAAATCAATTGAGATTGATAACCTCAACACAACGGTTTTGGTTTAACCAACAAAATTAATCTCTCTTAAGTTTATTAACCACGACCGTGCATTAATAAACCGAAGTTACTTACTTGTGAAACCATCAACGATTAACCATCGGTTCGTTGATCGTTTCTAGTAGTAATTAATGTCGAGATGTTAACTAATTGTCATCTTAGCAACTGATAAGTCCATTTTTTGTACTTATTTTTCTTATCAAATTTAAGCGATTTTTGAATGAAAATAGAAAGAAAAGACACATTTTATATATTTTGGTTCAAGTTTCATGAAATCAGGTAAAAATCACATCCATAATATGTTTAGCGGGATTTCGGGTCAATTGAGCACAAAATGAGTCAATTTGAGTGACAAATGCATTTATACCGGAAGAAGCAAGCATTTTATCAAGGTGATTCAGAAGACAAAGTTGAAGAGCAAGAAAAGCCGCATCTGCCAGACAAAAGTGGCCGAAGGCGCCCAAATAGGCGCCCAAAATGGAGGCCTTCGCGGCCGCCTACGGGAAAATTCAGAAGTCAACCTCGCTTTGACTCGGGACCAGGAAAAGACCGAAGGCTGCCGACACTGGACAGAAGGCGGCCGCCTACGGTGGCCGCCTGCGGCACAAGGGGACGAAACCAACCACCGATCGGCCAGACAAGACGGCAGGCGGCCAGACAGGACGGCAGGCGGCCGCCTGCTGGACCGCCTGCGGCGGCCGGGGTCCGCCGGGATCCGTCGGGATCCGATCTGCCAACGAAAAGATGGCAGGCGGCCATTTTTGACAGAAGGCGGCCGCCCTCTGTGGCCGCCTACGGCTGACGGGACCGCCACCGACGGTCTGCCGGCGACAGGACGGCAGGCGGCCAGAGGCTGCCGGAAGGCGGCCAGAGGCTGCCGGAAGGCGGCCGCCTGCCCGGGCGCCTACGGGAATTTTTCGGCTATAAATTCCAGGCTTTTTCCTCAACTCAAACACACCAATTTCAAGCCCAAATCAGATCAAAAAGGGCGTCTTCTTCCTCCTCAAAGCTCGGATTTCCACCATTGTTGCACCTTCAACTTCAAACTTTCATATCTTTCTCATTTTAGCTCCAAATTGTGAGTTCTTTATATGTATTTTCATCCTTTCAATGAGTAGAATCTGAATCTGTGCTTAGTTTTTTCTATCTGTGCTTCTAAAAATTTCAGAAAATTATTCCACTATTTCGCATTTTCTTCTTAAATTTGAATAAAATAGTTGTTGACATTAAATCCATTCCAATTAATTATATAGTTGTTTACTAGCCTCAAGGTAGTTATTTATCAAAATAAAGTTAATTTTTACGAAGTAGAAGTAAATTTTAATTTATTCCGGCATTTAGTTGTTATTATTGCATATATTAAATTAATTACTCAAAAAAGGTAAAAAAATAGTTTCTGTCCTAATTCAAGTTTAATTCACAGTAATATCACTCCCAGTAGTCAATATAAAATTTAGAACGAATTTAGAATATTTGTAGTTGCTTCTTTTGTATTGTCTAGTTAATATTGGGAAAATTATCAATTAGTTGTTAAAATTGGATTTTAGGTGATAAAATTCGGGAAAAATTCCAGAAGGTGATATTTTAGTTCTACAAGTTTATTTTGGCAGAATATTATTTTTGTTTAATTTTCGCTATTATACATGCTTAATTCCTTGTTAAAGTTGAATTTATTCATTGTATTGTTAATTGAAAAAATGATGTTTATTAGCTAAAATTGTTTTGGGCATGAATTGACTAAAGGAATATGGATTGACTTGTTGACCAAAAAAAATTAGGGATTAAAATTAATAATGGGGACTAGTTGTTTGAAATGATGAAATAGTAATTAATAATTGTTAGCCATATTCATTAATTAAATTCTTGGAAAATTATCTCTAACTTGTCTATGAGATTAGAAAATAATTTAAGCCAACCATATTTAAGCACATTAATAAGGCCTAGAAATAGGATAATTTAATGAAAGGGATTTACATCTTGTCTATGAGAGATAAATTCAATTGCTTAAATAATGAGTTTAACTAGTTAATGAATTTGGCTATTTTTATTAATTAAACTATTGGAGAATTATTTCTACCTTGTCTATGAGGTTAGAATTTAATTCAAGCCAACCATTTTTAACACATTAATGACACCTAGAAATAGGATAAATTAATGAAAATAGTTTCTATTCTTGTCTATGAGGAAAGAAATTATTAGTCCAATTTTAGTTTTAATTTCCCTAATTACTAGGTCCAAGAATATATCCATTTCTAATTACTCAATTCATTGCCCTTATTTGCATCAATCCATTTAAGTTCAATATTATATTTTTTTCCTTTAGTCTATTTTTGAGCCATCATTAGTATTCACACAATTTAATTTACTTTCTTTTCCAAAAAGTAGTTTAGAAAATCAATCAAAAGTTTTAATTTGGAAAGCTTCCAATAATTTGCGATAACCTGTGACTGGACTTAAAATCAAGAAGCTCCTCCGCCATTCCTCGAGAGACACGACACTCGGGGAAAAACCGAAAGGTTAGACTCCGTTTTACTACAACGCCGCGAAAGCGGTTATCAGCAACACTCCCCAACATTAATATAGAGATAGATTAAGGGAAGAATTAATATTCAAGGAAGAAGATTAAATATGAATAATCCTACTATAACTAATGTCAAGATGTTATCTAATTGTCATCTTAGCAACACTCCCCAACATTAATATATAGAGGAAGAAAATAAATACTACTATAACTAATGTCGAGATGTTAACTAATTGTCATCTTAGCAACACTCCCCAACATTAATATATAGATAGATTAAGAGAATAATTAATATTCAAGGGAAGAAGTTAAGAAAATAACTCACAACTTTAATAATCAACAAGCTTCAAGAGCAACACCAAGATATGGAAGTTTAGCTCCTCATTTGGAGACTAAACATGCTATAAAAATATAAAAGAAATACTATTCTAAACTGAGCTTAAGAGTATGGAAGAAGGAGTTATACTTTGTGAAGGAAAATGGGGTTATTTATAGGTGTTTTCAATACCCTGGGGCATTGACCCGCCCGGGTAAAAGGACATACCCGACCGGGTCAACGTCAAAATCAAATATTTCCCACGTTCTGGCGATCTTCGGCATGTTCTGGTGTTCCGGGTCACATCTGACCCGACCGGGTCAAATAAGTGACCCGCCCGGGTCTAGTGACTTTCTCAGTAGTTTCTGATTCTTTGTCATGCCCGACCGGGTGAAGTATTGTACCCGGTCGGGTTTTTGCTTCTGGGCAGCCAAATGTTATTTTCTTCACTTCAAAGTCCTCCTTTTCAACACCCTAATTCCTAACTCTACTTTACAACTTACAAATGAAGATTAAAATACAATTACAACTAAAATCACACAAATGTTTACAAACTAAATAAAACGGTAAACAAACCACACAAATCAAACATAAAAACATACACTTATGCACTACTAATTAGTGCATATCATTGGGAAAATCTTGAAACGGCCTTGAAACAAAGAAGAGATTATCATGAAGATTGTATAATTGTTTGTTCATACATTCTAGCATATTTAAATATATATTTTTGTTAGTGCCTGACTATAATAAATGGCTAGATATGAGGTCAATATACAACCCAGTTCGCTGGCTGTGCCCACACTCCCCGGGCGATCGAAAAGAAAAAGAGGAACTTTCCATTCCCTTGGTTTGTTTTACATCCGCCGTAATACTACCGAGAAACACATTGGGAAGATGGTGCGGTTACAGCCTGACCCATTCCTCAATGAACTTACAAGCATGTTTGAGCGAACTATGGAAAAGGGCTCTGTTTGGGTCACACTAAAGCACTCTTCTGATAAGTCCAAAGCCCAACGAAATAAACTGAAGACTTCTGGTGAAAAAATTGAATATAAGTGCCTTATTCGAGCAACTGATGGAAAAAAGAACATTTCTACCATGGTGGGCCCAAAAGATCACCAGCGTTTTCAAGCTTCCTACGCAATTTTATTGAAGGCTCGGATGACTGCTTTGAAAAAGAGGGAGAGGAAGGACAGGAAGAAGGCTGCAAATCTTGAGAAGAAACAAGAAGGCTTTAAGAAGCAATCTGCTGCTACCAAGGCCTCATCTTGAATCTTTTCCCATCTATGTTTTGTAGGATAGAGTTTGAAGTTGTCTCCACTGACAGCCACAGTCTGGTCCTTGCAACCAGTGAGATGATTCGGGTTTTTTCCAAGGAGTGCAATTTTTTTTGGATTACTATATTAAAGTATTAAACTATACTATATCAATAATTTGATTCTAGTTTTTTCCCAAAAAAAAAAAAAAAATGAGGTCAATATACACTCATTTACTCTATGGAATAATGCTTGCCAAGAACTCTTTGGGTATGCACATTAAATTCAGGCACACACAAAAAAATCACGCACATTATATTTTAACAAAGGTCAACCACTTATTCTAACAAATTTATTATACTTCAGAATAAGTGATTTTTTTAATAAAGGTCCCATAAATTTTAAAAACAGCGTTTCTAAAAAACGACCTCCCCCACACTTAGTATCAAAACTAACTAAAAACGTAAATAAACACACGGAAATTACAAACGTATCAACTCCCCCACACTTAGTTCTTTACTCGACCTCGAGTAAAATAGAAATATCAACAGTTTAAGAGTTTCAAGAAAGAAAGAAACTAAGACCACCAAGGGGAAAAAAATGAGTTTTTACAACAACATTCTTTCTTGGGTTTAATGATCTTCTATGCTCCATGTCCTTGCCTCTTTTTCTTCCTCTCCACTTCTTCTTTCTGAGTCCTCTTATTCTCCAAAGAGATCAAATGAGTGCCTGCAAAAACAAATATTTCTCTCATCTCTCTCATTTTGCCTAGGAGCCTTTTCAGGTTTTCATCCTAGCATCTCTTTTCATTTTCCATTCTCCCCACTCACTCATCATTTTTTTTATAAGCCCTTTTTGCTTAGATTGCCCATTTTGTTGGGTTTTCAACCTAACTAGCATTTCAATTCTTTTATTTATTCCTTTTTTTTGTTTACAAAGAGTAAAAGAAATTCATGCATAGTAAAGGGTGAAAATAAAGTGACATACCCATGATGAGTCTCCTCCCCCACACTTATGTGAAGCACTGTCCCTAGTGTCCACATTCTCCGCCATAGTAGCTGCCTCCAAAGCCGCCTCCATAGCTCCGGCGCTCATGTGAGCATCCCCGCCGTCCCCGCCGTCATAACCTCCACCCCCGGAGCTAGATCCTCCAAAGTTGCCCCATTGAGTGGGGTCATACCAAGAGGGGGGTGGGGGTGGTTGAGCCATGGTGTGGAATTGGCCTTGATGAGCCATGTAAGAATACATAGGCCCATAGAACCTACGTTGATCTTCTTCGTACCTTCGGTTGTCTTCGGCCCGTTGCTCCTCAAGTCTTTGAAATCCTGCTTGTTGTTCCTCCCGATACTTTCCAACTTCATTGGTCACTTTGTTGAACCCATCAAGTAGTTGTTGGAAGTAATCGGGTGGTGGAGGAACTTGGTTTTGTGGGGAAACGTGGTGAAGTAAAGCCTCGGGTTCATGTTGCTCGGGTTGAGGTTCTTGGTCGGGTTGGTTTTCGGGGGGGGGGGGGGGGGGGGGGGGCTTGAGGTTCTTGTAGGTGTGGTGGGAGGAGGTGTGGGAATAGGTAATGGGGCACATCTCTGTTGTAATGGAGTTTGGGGAGGTCCGGGTTAGGCAAGGGGTAATGTCTTACCGGTTTAGGGTGTATGAGCCAATTGTATACATGTCGGGGTTGGTCTTCTCCATACACCGTGTGAGAAAAAGTAGCACAACCCGAGTTGCCTAACCAAGTGATGTTCATCAAACAATAGTCGGGTATAGGAGAGTTGTCCGTATACCCAAACTTTGTTGCCAAGTGCATAATCACCCCACCCAATACAATTGGGCCTTTAGCAAAGATTTCTTTCTTGAGGTGTGCCCACATCAAATTACACAGATTAAAATCCACAGCACAACGGAATAAAACCGTGGTTATCAAACACACGTCCCCCATCCTAGTGTGATGGTTGTTGGGGCGCCCAAGTATACAATTAGCCAAAATTTTAAAAAATATCCTTAGAATTGGATGGTGAACATGGCTTATGTATAGTTGGGAGGAGCTAAAGTTCACCTCTCCGGTCATTTTGGTCCAAAGTGCATGACTCATCACGGTGTTGTCCGAAATCTCTCTCTCGTAGGGGACGGGAATGCCAAAATGTTCGGCAAACTCAAGTTTCGTTATTGAATATTCTTGGTTAAGCAAACGAAACGAGAGTGTATCATCCCTAAGATCATCCTCGTTGTTCTCAAAACTAGCCGAACTTATGAACTCATAGATGATTCTTTCATTTGAGTTGTATTTCATATTGAAAATAAGGTCCATATTCAACTCATGAAAGAATTTTCTAGTGCTCTTAAGTATGCCTAAATCACGAAGGGCTTTATGGCAAAGAAAACGAGAGGGTTTGACTTGCCTTGAAATTGTAGCGAGGATTCAGGCCCGTTGTTTGGTATCGGTGAAGTGAAAGTCCTCGTAGCCCGAAATGGGTGCCATGGCGTTTGAGCTCTCTCCCCTATTCTTTCTTGGAGCCATTGTTGGTGTTTTTTGAGCTTTGAAGATCAAGAATTCGAATGGGGGTAGGGTTTTTGGTTTTTGTGGGTATTTGGGGAAAAAGGGGTTTGTGGGTATAGATATGTAGAGGAGAGTGAGGGGAGTATTTTGGTGGTGGAATGGGATGATTTGGTGGAGGAATGAAGGAGATATGGTAGAGAGAAGGTAGAAAAATGGAGTTTGGGGGAGTTTAGTTCGAGGTTGGGTAGGGTGTTTGGAGAAGATGAAGTGTTTTGGGGTGTGATTTGGGGTTAAATCGCAGGTATACCCGATCGAGTACCCTGCTATACCCGATCGGGTATTGCTCTTTTAACTCGTTTCGAGCCTGGTACTCGATCGGGTCTGGGAAGCAGGGACTGTGGGAAGTTGTTTTTCCAGTGATACCCGATCGAGTATAGAAGTGCACTCGATCGGGTCTCGGAGGCAGGGGTATTTTATTTTTGTTTTTGCAGCCTTACCCGATCGAGTAAGGGTAAATACCCGATCGGGTGTTCCTCCTTTTGCACATTTAGGGCCTGGTACTCGATCGAGTCTGGGAGGCAGGTTTCTTCTGGTTTCTCCTCTCTGACAATACTCGATCGGGTATGTAATTATACCCGATCGAGTATACCTGTATCTTTGAAAATTTGCTGATTCGACCGAGTATTTGAACTCGGTTTCTCTTTTTAACCTGTACTTGACCGGGTATGTATTTATACCCGATCGAGTATTTCTCCAGCTGCACAAACCCTGCATTTTTTTTTATCTTCACCAAAAAAAATGTGATTAGTTCCCTCTCTCCCTTTTCTCTCAAATTCACCCAAAAAGAAAATAAAATCTAACTACTTGACTTGGGTTGCCTCCCAAGAAGCGCTTTATTTAACGTCGTGGCACAACGTTTTATTTATTTATTTTTTTCATTTTATGTGGGATCGTGAACATCCCTTCATTCATTTCTTTTCTTCAGCCTTTTCCAGTAAGGCCGACCTTTCTTCTTTGTTCCCAACTCAAATAAAATATTTGGCGTGGGTGGTTCAAAAACATTCAAAGAGCAAAGAGATTGATCTTTAATTTGTTTTTTCGTAGAGTCAAAGATATTGAGCTCTACTTTTTGGTCATCGAACTCTAAAGTTAATGAACCACTAGACACGTCAATTTTTGTTTTTGCGGTCTTCAAGAAGGGTCTTCCCAAAAGGATGGGTGTTGTTTGGTCATCATTCCCCATTTCGAGGACGTAGAAGTCGACAGAAAAAACCATATTCTCTACTTCCACTAGCACATCTTCTAATACACCCTTCAGGTAAGTACTAGAACGATCTGCTAGTTGAATCACTACACCGGTTTGATGTAGTGGGCCAAGTTGTAGGGATTTATAAACGGAATAAGGAATGACGTTTATAGATGCCCCCAAATCTAATAAGGCCTTAGGAAATGTGGTGTTTCCTATCGTGCAAGGAATAGTGAACATGCCTGGGTCGTTGCATTTTTTTGGAAGCTTCTTCTGAAAGATGGCCGAGACATGCTCACTAACTTCAACCTTTTGTTTCCCCTTTAATTTATTTTTTCTTTTCATTATACATAGTTCTTTTAAGAACTTTGCATAACGGGGAACACTTCTGATTAATTTAAAGAGTGGGATATTTACCTCACAATTTACGAAGGTCTCATAGATGTCCCGAACACTCTCTAGCTTCCTTGTGTCTTTCAGCGCCTCAGGGAATGGAGGGATTGGTACATATGATGACAGCGGGGGAAATTTTGTCTTTGTTGGCTCCTCCTCCTCAACCTCAGTTTTGTCAACCTTTTCTTTTTCAACTTCCCTTGTTTGCAATTCTGAACCACTCCTTATCATGATGGCATTGACTTGTTGCCTTGGATTTTGCTCAGTTTGGGAAGGGAGCCTACCCGAATCTTTTGCTTCAAGTCGATTCATAGCATTCGAAATTTGGCTAACTTGAGTTTCCAAATTTTGAATGCTTGACTTCGTTTCTTGTTGAAATTGCAACACGTTTTGTTGCAATGTGCCCATGGTAGTGGCAAGAGTTCGAATCATGTCTTCCGTAGACATACTCGTTTGAGAAGGTGGGTTGGCTTGTTGAGGGTTTCCATACCTCAAGTTTGGATGATCCCTCAATCCGGGATTGTAGGAGTTTGAAAATGGGTCGTACCTCCTTTGTTGATGACCTTGGAAACCCAAGGCGTTGACTTGTTCCGTGGTGTCTTCTTGAAGAGTTGGGCATGAGTCCGTGGGATGCCCTTGTTGTGTACAAATACCGCAGACCTTGACTTCTTGGGTTTTGGACTTTAAAAGGAAATCCTTAACCAAAGAAGTCAAGCCGGTAACTTGACTTGTCAAGCCGTTCACTTGACTCTCCAACGAGTTGTTGGATTCCGCCACCATAACTCTACGAGTTGAGGACCGCCCGTTATAGTGTCTAGAGTTCTCGGCCAACTCCGAGATGAGATCTCTTGCTTGAGAAGGGGTTTTGTTGACAATACCCCTTCCGCATGCCGCATTCACCATGCGTCTATCTTGATCCACAAGACCATCATAAAAGTAGAGAATGAGGT